GTCTCTCGGTGAAGCATGGAGGGCCGCTCTCCCTGTACCCCCGTTGCAGCTCCGCCAGCGTGGCTAGCTCATCCATTCATCTCGGAGGGAGAAAGGAAGAGCAAAAACCAGGGTTAACATCAGTTTGGCTTTTTGACATGGAGAGTGTTAAAAGCAGCCCGAGGACTCTGATTTTATTCAGATGTGGCGCTCTTACTTCAGGATGTCTTGGCATCTAAAGCTAATGTGTTTGTTTTGGTAACAACACAGGATGTTATTGGAGGGGCAAAAGTGGTTAGGAGCGGCATATGGTGTGAGTTTCATTCGAGTCTCACTATACCCTCCAACAACTGAGAGGAAAATAAACAGAGTAGCTTTAAAATGTTGAATTGGCTAGACATTAAATCTGTAAAAACACTGGTTTTATTGATTGTGATTAGAAAGCCCACAGCCAAAGTACAGTATCTAGCGTCATTCATACCAAGTTATTTTCCATGTTGGTTTGTATATCACTTAATTTGTGGTCCAGTAAGTCAAACCACTTGTTTTTCAGGCAGTGAAGCTAACCAGCTCCCGAACACAGCTTCCTTATGAATACTACTCCCTCCCTTTCTGTAAGCCAAAATCTGTTGTCTACAAGGGGGAAAACCTGGGTAAGTGGACTGCTGCTGGCATGTGTGGAGTGTGGGATGGGATGTCAAATGTATCACTTCATTTGACCTGATTACATAGAGTGCTGTAGTAGTGAGTCTTAAAACCCAAGCATTTTTGCACTTCTGGTTCTCTCGCCTTGAAGTCAGTGGGTTTTTTTAATTTGGTTTTGGTTCGACACCTGAAATAAGACCTGTGGTTAACACAAGGTCAATACATTTCCCCGTTTTGTTCTATGAATTAAAATACGGCAGTAAATATCCTGCTCATGTTTGGTTTTTTTTTGTTTGGTTTTTTTTTAGCTTTTACACATCTTAAAAAAGGCAATTGTTAGCAGGTGGCTAAATGAGACTACAGAGGCTGTCTGGGAATTTCACGTCATCACAGAAACTCATCTACTCACCAGCCCACTTTACAGCCTTGTTACGTCTAAACCTCACACTCAACTATTGTAACTACCTGACGCAGCCATGATCACTAATTAGATCAGGTCGTACTGTGAGGAAATTATTTTGTCAAAGAGGTAAGCGCTATAAATCAAATTAGAAGTTGGAAGCCAAGGTGATAACACTGAAGTCATGGGACTGTAGTGTAGTTTATTTATAGCCTAACAATAGCTTTTTACTTCTGGCAATTGTATGCAGGCTTCAAAAATCATAAAAGTTATGTTCACTTGTGAAGATTATCTTGCTGAACAAAATGTAAGCTCATAAACCATAGAGCTTATTTTCCACAGTAATCCAAAACCTATGGAAAAAAACCCATTGACTTTTTGTCGAGGAAACCAGGGAGATGCTAACTACCAGGTTGGCCTACACAAAAACATCATCCCTACGGCACTCTATTTAAGAAGCAATGAAATCATACATGCTGCCATTACAAAAAATGTATAATTCTTTTTGTAGGTGAGGTGTTGCGTGGGGACCGTATAGTGAATACCCTCTACAGTGTTGAGATGAACAAGAACAAGAAATGTGAGATTGAATGCGACAAGAAAAAACTCAGCATAGAAGAGAGCAAGCTGATTGCTGAGCGAATCCAGGAGGAGTATTATGTTCACCTGTGAGCTTCCCTTCCTTGGTGCTGTTAGCAAGGGGAATCCCTCTAAATGCTCATCTTAAGCTACTGCTATGTAGAGTAACGTATTTGTAAAAATTGGATGCCATCCGACTTCTTTGGTGCTTTGTAGCACCCGATAACATATGTATAATTTTCTTTTCTTGGATTTATATCTCTGAGATGACCTGGTTCACTAGCATTTAGGCTTTTTCTTATGTTCAATATGCAAACCACAACAAATAGACGACCACCCTGTGTCTTTCAGTATTGCAGATAACCTGCCTGTTGCCACCAGATTAGAGTTTTACCCAAACAGAGAGGCAGGAGGGGAGGATGAGCAGAAGAAGGACGTGGTGAAAGATATCCAGTTTGAACATGGCTACAGACTGGGCTTTGTTGACAACAACAAGGTAGATCTTGTATAGTGTCTTCCTGTCTTGAATACATTGTTCAGAGATGGAGAAAAGGTGGAGAGTACAGACAGCAGATGATCATAAGCTCCTCACATTTTTAGGGGCTTGCATTTAACCATGTCTTGAAAAACCTCCAGCCAGTTATGATACAGTTATGCAAATGTACAACTGGGGAGTGTTTTATTTTTTGAAACTAAATACCACAATCTTATGTTCACGGTCAAGCTAAAGGTCAAACTGTATGGACTAGAAATGCAGGCTGCTAAAATTTGTAGACTTGATTGTTGGCCAACTGTAGTTGTGTGTTGGTCTGTGTGCATTTCCTGTATCTGAGATTGTTCACCATTCGTAGGTTATTGGTCATAATGTGGGAGAATCTAAGGACTGGTCTTATACTTAAAACCATAGACTTAGCTCACTGTAACTCTCAAAACATTCACGGAGCCTTTGGAGTCTGATGTTGAAAATGTCCTGAAAATGTTCTGAAACTATATGTCCTGAAAAAAAAGTGGGGCCTCAGTAACACAGACAACACTTTGTTTTTTCTTTTCTTTTCTTTTTTTTTTTTATTGACATGTGGACAAACATGAAAAAATGAGTGCATGTTACCAGCAATGATAAAATAGAGCAGAAGATGAATGTACAACTAAAATGATGTGTAAGTTTGTATGTTGGAAGGGCACTAACTTTTGTGTTGCTTTTTTTTTTTTTCCCCCTCACAGTTTTATCTGCACAACCACCTGTCCTTCATCCTGTATTTCCACAGGGAGAAGTTGGAGGAAGAGGATATTCATGACTACAGAGTGGTGCGATTTGAAGTTGTACCACAAAGTGTTAAAGTAGAAGGTAGGTGTCAACACTGAATAGCTTGAAGATGTGTCAAGGGCATTGCACACAGGCGGCGTATGACATGCATCAGAACACCTGCACACAGTATTCTCAATGAAAGCCCAAAAACTGATGAGCATCAACCTGCAATGATGTGTGTCAGCGCTTCAGGATGCGCTGTACTCACCCATTTCAGTAGTTCTGTGTTGAATTTGCACTGTTCCTGGTGTGTGTTACAAGAGTCATGTGACGTGAACCACATGACAAGCTGCACTGGCCTGTGTGCGGTGCCCTTAATGTTTCTGACCTATAGTGATTTAAAAACGGATGACATACAGCTGTTGCCTCAGAAGTGGCCATTAAAGTACAAATTACTCATTGTTGTAGTACTTGCTCTGTATTTATTTATTCTCAGACCTGAAAGCAACGGGAAATGTGTGCACCTTGCCTGAGGCTAGTGGCTCCACGCCCCAGGAGATTGACCCAGACAAAGAGAACGAGGTCCTCTTCACCTACTCTGTCCACTGGGAGGTCAGTGGCTGCTGCATGGATTCTCACTGACTTCAAGTCAGACCAGTCTGCAACCCCAAAGAAGTCCTACCAACACCCAAAAAACTTTATTTAAATTTGGATTGGTCTCAAGAATTTCTCTTGATTTGCTTTAGTCTCTTTGTTCATTTCAAATCAAGTGTAAAGTACTACAAGGTGAAAACAACAGAAAACATGACTATCCACATACTTTATGGTATACAAATTGCCAAGCAACAAGCAGTAGGAGTTTTCTAGGATATGATGTTAATTAAAGCTAGATAAATGCAGTGAAAGCACAACTGGGCCTCTTGTCTACTGTGCAGGAGAGCGAGGTAAAGTGGGCGTCTCGATGGGACACGTACCTGACTATGAGCGATGTCCAGATCCACTGGTTCTCTATTGTCAACTCTGTGGTGGTCGTCTTCTTCCTGTCTGGTACGTCTCAAGTTTAGAGAAATCCTACTCAAAATGAAGTAACTGCACGTTTGTATGTCAAAAAATGTCAGTTTGTGAAATTGTAATACATAGCATTGGCCTTGAGCCTGGAAGCATTAAACAAATAGTAAAGCTTATGAATGTGTGTAAATCTATGTTATATCATGTATCCAAAAAATAAATAAAATAAAATCTGTAGTCTGATGACAGTGTGTGAAATAATCTGACTTCCATGTTTCTAGATGAGTGACTTCCTGTCATCTTTCAGGTATTCTGAGTATGATCATCATCAGGACCTTGAGGAAGGACATTGCAAACTACAACAGAGAGGATGATATAGTAAGAAAATACACACCTAAAGTTTGCATGGTTTCAGCAAGTTGTTGGGGGGGGAAAGGCATCAATATTGTGTTTGAAAAAGGTATAGATCAGAATGAATAGATTTTAATGTAAGGGATTTTAGTGCTTTGGGTTCTTAATGTTCATTAGATCAGTATATTCACAGCACTTGACCATGTTTTTCTTCTCCATAACCAGGAGGACACTATGGAGGAGTCGGGATGGAAGAACGTCCACGGTGACGTCTTCAGACCACCTCAATATCCCATGATCCTCAGTTCTCTGCTGGGCTCAGGGATCCAACTCTTTTGCATGATTCTCATTGTCATCTGTGAGTTTTTCATCAATTTCCTATAGAGCTTGACGGTGTTTATCTCTCCTTGACCCATAAGAATCCTCACATGGCTAAAAAAAAAAAGGTCAAAATAATGATCTCCTGATACCAGGGCTCTGGTTCATGTTTCAGATTTGAAGCAGCAAAGATAAGTCTGTGAAAAACCCAAAATATAGAGAAACACACTATGAAATGTATCTGCAACACAATTAGATATCCTTTGTCTGAACACATAAATGTGTGAATATTAATATGCACACAATATAATGCTAACAGTATTGTCAACATAGTAGTGTGATTGCCATTTTCCATGGTTCATATTAACCAGACCACCACAGTATTATACAGTAAGTTGTTTGACATTAGTTATGTGTTCATGTCCAAAAAATGTATGGTGGTCTAAAATGAATTTGTTGATGTTTAGTGCTTTTAACTTGAATACATGTTCTCTCTTGGCTGGGCACAGTGACTTCCTGGAGTCTGTCACAGTCAGGTTGCCATGCAGCCAAAAGATTTTAGACTGGCTAAAAAGTTACAGCTCATATCCCTCATCAAACCACAACTTTTAATTTTTACATCTCTGTTTTCATATTAATTAAACAAATAACATGTTAATCTGAGCTGTGGTTTATTAGTTATCTCTAAAATTAGGTTGGTGGAGAAAACAGTGCATGATTGTCAGTCACATGTTCCTGTTCCTGTGTCTGTGTCGTAGTTGTTGCCATGCTGGGCATGTTGTCTCCGTCCAGTAGAGGGGCCTTGATGACCACTGCTTGCTTCCTCTTCATGTTCATGGGGTAAGAGCAATGTTCTGTCTGATCCTCAGTAAGAAAATCCCAAAGAGCAGCCAACTTTCAGAGCATTGCTTTGATCGTTTTTCCTGTGCATGTTTCTTCTTCAGTGTATTTGGTGGCTTCTTTGCTGGGAGACTGTACCGCACACTCAAGGGTCACCGGTGGAGGAAAGGAGCATTTTGTGTGAGTCATTGTTAGACCCTCAATGTGAAAAGGTTTCATCACTGCTGAGTTAGTACTTTTTATGTGTAATGACACATTTCTTTACATTGGTGCTGCCATGAAGCGAGAGTCTCAGGGTGTATACTTTTTGTCTCCCCTGTAGACAGCAACTTTGTATCCTGCTGTGGTTTTTGGAATCTGCTTCATCCTCAACTGTTTCATCTGGGGAGAACACTCCTCTGGGGCTGTGAGTGTCATGACAAACACACAATCAAAAGTATATGCTAAAGTATGTGTTCATATGATAGCAAATTAGGAAACTAGAAGGCCAGTTACTTTGTGATTATTAATATAGCAAGTGACTTTTTAAAGGAAAGATTCACCATAAATATATTTTAAAAAACTTCTGTTGCAAATGAAATTCTTAAGTGTTAAAACACAACCTGGCTCATTCCACTTGGAGGTTCTGCTGCTAGAGCCTCATATAGTCTAGTACGACCACTAGCTTACAGTGGCTGTTAGTGATGTCAGGTACACAGTGATACTGTATCTACCTGAGTCAGTTTGATGAAAGTTACGCTGTGTTGTAGCACGTCACCAATGACTTTATCACAAAAAGTAACAGTTGCACAAGCAACAAAATGTAGCTAAGTAGGCAAACTAGATCAGTAGTATAAGTTAAATACAGGAATATCTAAGTTTGCTAACATTAGCTAAATGTGCTTACACCAGACTAGGTGAAGCTGTAGCAGCAAAAGCACAGATCGATTGAACTTATTTGTAATAGGAAGAATGTCTTGTTTCTTCTTTCAGAAGTTACATTTATTTCACTTAAAACATGTATATTGTATTTTTAAATATATATATATATTTCATTAGCATGTGACCAAAGAGCCAGGTATGACTTGTCATTGCTGTTTCTCAATGAAAATGACAAACTACTGTAAAGTAAAAAGCCAGTGGGGAGACTGTTGAGTCAACATACCATCTTCTGAGAGAGAACTGATTCAAATTAACAGCATGTAGGTGGTTGGTGTAATATATAATGTTAAGGTCTAAATAAATAAAAGTGTAAGGAAAATTGTAACATGTTCTAATTTCAGAGGCAACAGTATAAACATATTGACAGTTAAGCATCTTTCTTTATCTCTTGACACTCCTCCCTGTGTTCTTGCTCTCTACTCCCACCATTTCAGGTTCCCTTCACCACAATGCTAGCCCTGCTGTGCATGTGGTTCGGTATCTCCATGCCCCTGGTCTACCTGGGCTACTATTTTGGCTTCCGCAAACAGCCTTATGATAATCCTGTACGCACCAACCAGATCCCTCGGCAGGTCCCAGAGCAGCGCTGGTACATGAACAAGTTTGTAGGGTGAGTGTCTTGAGTCTGACCTTAATCTTTGGCTGATTGCTGACATCTTGCAGGTGTACCTCGGTGTTAACACATGTAGTCTTGTGATATGTTTTTTTTCTTTCCACTAGAATCCTGATGGCTGGGATCCTGCCGTTTGGTGCCATGTTCATCGAGCTCTTCTTCATTTTTAGTGTGAGTACATCTTCCAGATCAACTGTTCTTTCACTGCTGTACAGTTTGGCTGCGTGTTTATTTTGTGTCTGTAATCTCATATAAATGGGAAATTTGTTTCATTGAGGAAAAGTAACTGATGAAACGTCTCACTGGCTCAGACCTTGCACTCTCAGTAATGTTGGTGTTTGGTGCCACCTGCAGGCCATCTGGGAGAATCAGTTTTATTACCTGTTTGGCTTCCTGTTCCTGGTCTTCATCATCTTGGTGGTTTCCTGCTCTCAGATCAGCATTGTCATGGCTTATTTCCAGCTCTGTGCAGAGGTAAGTTCATTTAGGCTGGGTGTGAATGCATGCGTGTAGATTGCCCAGCTATGCTTGTGTCCTCCTATTTGATGCCTCACCTGCATTTTGCATGCACCCATGGGGTGTGTATCTGTTTCTCCACACTACCAGGACTACCGGTGGTGGTGGAGAACATTCCTGGTTTCAGGAGGCTCAGCGTTCTACGTCCTCGTTTATGCTGTCTTCTACTTTGTCAACAAGGTAAAAGCCTCGAAGCTGTTTCAGACAAAGCAAAGTCTCCTTTACTTCTGCAACAGTGTTTGAGGCATACTTTCAGTTCACTCACTAGAACACTGATACATGTTGTCATTTGGTCTTGATAGTGCTCAGTGAATGAAATAATCATTTATGACTAGAGAAGCTAGCCTTGTTAGCGCTTTGGAATTATGTGTGAGAAAAGTGATGGAAGTGTTTTTCCTCATAAAAGTTCCATTGGCTTTTTAGAAATAATCCCCTCATTATCCCTAACTCAAAAATCTATATTCTGAATATACAAATATTTAGTTGTAAAGTTTAACTGTTGGATACAAGATGTCTCCCACTGAAATGTTTCAGTGAGCGTGACCCAAAGGTTTCATGTCTTCCCAACGCTTCATAATTGTTGCGGTGATTTGTCGGTGTGGGGCTGTACAGCTGTGTTACAAATCGTGCTTGTAGTTTGAGTTAAACTGGTGAGCACGGAGAGATTTTGCCCAAGTAGGTGAATGTGGAAATGGTTTCAGCATATGCATCATTCTGCTCAGTGATGCTTCAACATCCAGGTGAAGTAACGAGAAGAAATATTTTTGAGTAGAGGGGGGCCTTTGATTATTACTTGAATGGCAAAATGAGTTTTAAAGTCTGTTGCAGCCTTTGAGAGAAGTGAAAACACTTCTTTTCTTTACTTTGCAACTAACCTGCGTTCTCTGCCACGATACTGATGGAAGCACCTCTGCGCCATAATGTGTGAGGGCGCATAAACCACATTGAGCACTACTCAGTTTGTAACTCAGCATACAAACACAGGTTTGTGAGTGCAGACTCAGATCTAAGAGGGTTTGTAACTCAGCATTTGAGAGCATACAAACACAGATTTGTGAGTGCAGACTCAGATCTAAGAGCGTAATCCCAGCCATGTGTGAGCTTGTCTCTGAGTCTCCACTGGATTTTGTGTGAAAGTCTGCCAGAGCCAAAAGGTTTGAAAGTGCACATTTTTTTTGCAAGTCGCAATTTGAGAGCATACAGGCACAAATTTGTGAGCAGAATCCAATTTGAGAATTGTGAACATAACATGATTTGATTGAGCAGGGATCCTCCCTCACTCTCAAATCAGACTCTGCTTTTACAGATCTGTCTCTCTGCTACCAAATGTTAAATTGCAAACTTAGGGCGACGAGTTTTGTCTAAATGATAAATGCAGTCACTTTGTAACAACCAATGTGCCATACTCCGTGACTGAAAAAGGCTCCAATAAGGAACCTACTCAACCTTTTATGGAAGTGAAGACCAAATAGAGTAACCCTTTTAATAAGACCCAAAAACTTTTAAAAAATATGTGAAATGGACAACACAGTGAAAGTGATTCATCCTGTTTGTTCTTCCCCAGCTGGACATTGTGGAATTCATCCCCTCACTCCTGTACTTCGGCTACACCGCCCTCATGGTGCTGTCATTCTGGCTGCTAACGGGCACGATCGGTTTCTACGCTGCCTACATGTTCATCAGGAAAATCTATGCTGCGGTCAAGATCGACTGAGTCACCACCATCACTGCTGTTCTCATCATTTGTTTTTTTTTTTCTTTTTGGGGTCACTTTTAAAAATATATTTTTATTCATCATGTCCAAAAAGCACTGACTTGTGTGTCGAGGGAGCGAGAGGGGTTTGTGTGGTGCAACAGCCCCGCCCACTGGCCTCAAGGGGAAATACAGCAAGGTGGCAGAGTTGACCAGCTGTTCTCCCTCCCTCTTTTCCTCACTTGTCCCCCTTCCTTTCTTCAGGACAGTCTTGGGGGAGTCTTCCTCTGATGGGGCAGCTCATGTCCTGCTGTTTCACCCTGCACATGACACAGTGGGCCAAAGCTTGTCCAACCATGGTTTCTGTGCATTTTCTTTTCATTGTGTATTTTCAGTCTAACTTATCCAGGTTTTTATTTTTGTCATCACAGGATTTCTCCCTACTTAATTTTATTTGATCATCTCCTGGGGAACTTGATTCATCTGATTTCCTTACATTAACTTTACTTTTTCCAATGTCTGTTTTCACTGCAGAGACTGGGGGAGTCAAGCTGTGGTCATGGTGTTAACTTTGTTGTGCTGAACCAATATGGATGGAAATTATGCTGGGAAATTCTGCATTGTAACACGAAGAGGTTAAGTTAAATGTTCTATTATTTTTTACTTCAGTTTCCAATTCCTGGTGTGACCATGTTACCACAAGTGTAATCAAAATATTAGCTTCTTCTTTCCGAACAATGGATCTCTTGATGTCAAAATATTGGTCCGTTTGCTCTAAGTGATACAGAACTGCTCTGAATGGGACTATGAACCCGACGGCCTGAAGCAGTGGACTGCTGGGGGAAGCCGCTGGAGCAAAGGAAAAGCTACAGTCGGCACAGAAATGAAAGGGAGGCATAACATTTTTTTTTTTTTTATTTGAAAGTCTGCAACACACAAGTGTTTGAAGCTTTTCCAGCGGTAACTTACAAAAAAGAACATGTTTTTCTGCTCATTAACCATGCCGTCAGTGTAGCCTTA